TAATTGCGGTCAGGATAAAGTTCCTTCTTGGTGGTAACCGATATTAAGATATCAGTAATCCCCCAAGATATCCTGAGGGTTTCAGATCAGCTGTGATCTGAAAAAATTTAGTGGATAGTTATCCTTTTGAGGCGATCCTTTCTAAGATGTGTGTGCCTTTGTATGTCACCTTTTTATTCAATACAGACGATTAGAAAATTAGAAACGAGGCAATAAAATACCTCAGAAATATATAACATCTGTTTTTGTTCAGATCAAATACAATTATTATTGAAAAAATTAAAAATAACAGGTTTTCTATTCAATACCTTTCATCAAAACATGTATATGTTTTTAGATATTTGCTATTTTTCTTAGTTTTTCTATTCTGTGATTTTACCACATCATACCAGGTAGTACGACTGCGGTCAACGCAGTCATACTACCTCACATTGGCGTCTGTCACTTCCACCAGGCGATAACAAACACGTCTCAATTAAATAAGCTTCGAATAACGGTCAAGTCAAATTAATGGAAGCGTTTTACCTACCAATAAAACGCATATTAATTTACTTACCTTATTCGAAGCTTATAGTCAAGCTCTGCCTGGTAATGAGACTCAATGAAATAAAAATGGCGAGTCTCTCTTAGCAAGCCTCCCCACCACTGCCAAATGGAAGTGACGTAGTAGAAAGAGATAGACATACAGGAAAAGCGGAAGGAGGGAAGCGGAAGGCCTATCTCAATTAAATAAGCTTCGAATAACGGTCAAGTCAAATTAATAAGTAATTTTAAAACAGTAACTAGTCAAAATAATTTATTTATTTATTTATATATTATTATTTATTTATTTACTTTATTATATATTTGTAGTAACTCTCATGACTCATGAGCAAAAGATGGCACTTTTTACAATATGAACAAAATCATTTATACAAATACCTGCCTGCCTCGTTGGCAAGGGGTCTCGGTTTCGGTTCCCGGATCGGGCACAGTTTTATTGGGTTTTTTTTTATTCTCAGTAGTAGCACGGAGTCTGGAATTGTGCCTGGTATATGGGAATAGGCTCACACCCTATTACATGGGACTCATAACATAAAAGTGAAAAGTGAGTGTTAAATTGTACAGTGGCATTAAGTGCCGTAATGTGCACCTCAGTCTACCCCTTCGGGGATAAAGGCCGGATGTTATGATATTTATCCAAATCTTATATTGGACATTGAAACAAGACCAGGCTTATTTTCCTCAGTAATTTTTACAACTGTTTTTAATTGAAACGTTCTCATTCCAGGCGAGCTAATAATAACAATAGTGGACGTGAACCGTCACGCGCCCGTGTTCTCGCAGCCCTCCTACCTCGACAACATCCTGGAGGAGCAGCCCCTGGGGACTGTCCTCAACACCTACACCGCTAGCGACAAGGAGACTCCTATACAGGCCATTGCGATACAGCCACCTAATCCATACTTCGTTATTGACAACGTTACTGGTGAGTTAAAATTAGACAAGCCTTAAAAAAAGAATGATATCGTATTATACTTTCTTGTGGTCGCGAAGAACCTAACGGGTTACCGGGGCTCCGGTTTGACGTGAAGGAGTAGGAACGGGGTGGTTTTTAATCAGTAAGAGTCTGACACTCCCTCTCGCCTCACCCAGGGGGAGGAGTTCGATGATTTTCCCCCTTAAAAAAAACTTTCTTGTGATACTTATTAAATCTTGTACTTTTATATTATACTTATATTATATAAAGTTTGTATGTTTATTTGAACGCACTCATCTCAGTAACTACTGGACTCTTACTCTTGAAACCAATCTCAATGTCAGTTCCATTTCAATCTCAATAATTATTCAATGTCAAAACTATACAACCTCTATCGTAGCTGTTAAAATAGCAATCAGAGTACGGAATTGAAACTTTACAATACTAAGTACTTCATTCAATATCCACGTAATGGATGCAATAGGCGCTAGTGTTGTAACTCAAGAGTACGAAATTTCACAATATCGATGTCGATCGATCGGAATTAGATTCAAGAGATTCCTAGTCCGATTTAAACTGTCAAACACCGCGAGGACACCGGTGACCGGAACCTATTGTTCTTTAATTGTGTCTATAATAACGGTACTCAAAGAGTTAAATAATTATTTTTGTGTTGAATATTCCGCATATTGAGAAAGGCTATAGGATAGGCTATAAAACATCACGCTATGGCCAATAAGAGCCGAGCAGAGCGGGTGAGACGCGGATGTAGCTAGTTAATTGTAATTATGGTCTAAGCCTTGGTCACGTTCACGTTAGTTTAGTGTGGGACAGTTTGTCGCGCAGTGCAGCAATACGAGACCTACATATGTATGGCTTGAAACTTATCGATTGAAAGCTGTCAAACATGATGTCTAATTGTTAGTTTGAACTTGATAATCTTTGGAAGTAAAAGTCTATATTTTTGTATCAGACCGTACTATGGCGTGTTTGCTTTAGTTCATACACTTTTAGTTTAATAGTATTCGTTAGATTCAAAAATATTCCATATCTTTTAAGACTTTACTTTATACAACTAACCAATGACTTTATAAGACTATCCAATATATTGTCAAACTGTTTATAAACTTTACTTCTCTTTTCTACAGGAATAGTAAAAGTGGCTCAACGAATAGACTATGAGAAGGTTCACAGTATTAACTTCACGCTAGTAGCCTACGACGGGGGAGTGCCACAACTCAGCACCGCGGCAGGAGTCATGGTGCAGGTAACTGAATATTTGTTTCTGTTTTTCATACAGTCTACAGCTCATGAGAGTCCACGATGGAATACTATTCTACAAAAAAAGGGGCTTGCCATGGTTCCCAGGCTTTATAGACGTTAGATTTCAATTAACACAATCCTCGCGTTATGTATTGTGTCGCCGCGTGAGTGAAGTTATCAATGGCCCAATTTATCTCCCAATCCCAAATGTTCCTTACCGCTACGCATTTACCGCCTCTAGTTTCGTAGCTAACCATAAACTATTAGGTGATATAACTAAAAATAGCAGGTTACTCACTTGAAAATACTGAGAAAAGCTCTACTGAGTAGGTTGTGCGACATCACCGCGACCGCGCACGCTGCTCATGAGGAAGAACTCCTCTGTGGTTCGAAATTCTCAGTATTTTCACGTGAGTAACCCGCGATTTTTAGTTAATTTAGTATGTCTCACGATAGTAATTATAAAAAACATTAGGTGATTTATCTCCTCGTTTGCTAACATGACAGGACAGTTAACGATGAAGTAAAATCAAGTCATTCATTCTAATACAATACCTATATGGCTATTGTTTAGAGTAAAACACACGTTCACCCCCTATTACATGTGACTCATAACATAAACAGTGAAAAGTGGGTGTTACATTGTACAGTGGCATAATATGCACCTCTGCCTACCGCTTCGGGGATATAAGGCGTGAAGTTATGTTATGTTAAAACACCTATACATTAACCAACAGGTGCTAAACGCCAACGACGAGGAGCCAGTGTTCGCGTCCAGTGCGTACGACGGGGTAGTGGCGGAGCATGCCGAGGCGGGAACCAGTGTGCTCATTGTAAATGCTGTCGATAAGGATGAAGGTAAGAAGAAATTGATGTTTGAATCACACTAATATTACAAACGTAATAGTTTCTTTGTTTGGATGTTAGGATATTTGTCCGCCAATCACGCTGAAACTACTGAACAGATTTTGATGAGTCCTCATCAATACAAATTAATCAAACCCAAACACAAGGTAGCTACTGTTAATCGTTGAGGAGTTCCCTCGACTAGCTCTCGGCTCCATTATCAGATCGGCTCCAGACTTTTAGACCAGACAGACTTCAGACTCAAAATGTACAAATGCCCTAGTCGCCCCTATAATTTTTAAAAGTTCCCCTCGGTTTCCCTGGTCTTCTATCATGAGATCCTGATTTCCTTATAATGGGACCATTCTGGAACTATCTACTGCCCAACAAAAAAAAAAAAAATTAAAATCGGTTCATAAACGACGGAGATATCGGCGAACAAACATATAAAAAAGCATATATACGGTCGAATTGAGAACCTCCTCCTTTTTTTTAAAGTCGGTTAATAAAAAAGGAATCATGCTCTACGCGAACAAAGTCGCAGGCAACACCTAGTAATTTATATGGGAGTAATTTATCACGCAGCCTACTAACTACAATCATATATCATATTTTAATCCTACTACTAACTCCAATCAATCCTCATTTCCAGGTGAATTTGGCGAAGTGACGTACAGTCTATCAGGCGACTCTGCAAACCAGTTCACCATAGACCCTAACACCGGCATCATCACGGTAGCAGAGGGCGCTGTGATCGACAGAGAGGTTACAGGGGATATTTACTTCAGAGCCATCGCCAGTGATAACGCGCCCGCGCATATTAGGCGAACTACGAGTGTACCGGTGAGTAGAGTGAAGTTTTTTAACTGTTGGTCAAGTGTTGTAAGCATGACTGTCTAGCCTCAGGGCGTTAGGCTCGATTCTCAATAGTGGGGCAAATAAATGTTAGGATGTTATGATATTATTTTTAGTTTTATTATTTAGGTATAGTACGAGGTTTAGAATTGGCGATGTGTATGAATAAATAAAATAATAAAACTTTTATGACAAAGGATACAAAGTAACTGATGGAAAAGTGGGTGTTACCTTAATTCACTAATCAAAACAGTTTCCACATTAGTAAATTTATTCGCTAAGTAATCACAATTTTACTTACGTTTCACCGTTTAAAAGTGCTTTAATTTGTCTAATTTAAATAAATTTTTATTTGGACTTTGACTTTGACCATCCCTATTCCAGGTGCACATAAAAGTCCAGGACATAAACGACAACTCTCCAGTGTTCAGTCAGAAAGTGTACAAGAGTACCATCGCCGAGAACTTGCAGCTGAACCCTCCGGCCGCCATACTGCAGGTGTTAGCTGAAGATAAGGACGAGGGGATTAATGGGAAGATCGAGTATAGGATCATTGAACAGAGTGAAGCTGGTAAGTAATTTGAATAATTTCGTTTTCAGCAGGTCTTAATTTATTTTTGTAAACGAGCAGACGGAGCTCCTGATGGTAAGCAATTGGCGCCGCCCATGGACACCTGGAACACCAGTCGAGTTCTAACGTCAACGATCCCTTTCCATTCCTATTCGCTATTTCATTGTATTTTTTTATGGAATAAGCCGGTAGACAACCAGACGGATCATCTCATGGTAAACAATCGGCGCCGCCCATGGACATCTGAACCACCAGAAGTGTTACGAGTGCGTTTTACCGGCATTTTGGGAATTGAGAATTTGAGGATTGTGGAGAATTTGGGGATTGGGGAGACTGGAGAGGGGGGTAATTGGGCCTCTGGTAAACTCACTCACACGACGAAACACAATGCAAGCGTTGTTTCAAGTCGGTGGCCAAGCATGGCTCTCCCACATTTTACTTTGGCTCGCTTGGTGACGCTTCGCCGGTAAGGACAAGGGTCAATCAAGAGTGCACATTCACCAAAATGTATCCGGTTGAAAACCGAAAGGCTTGCAACCTTACGCCTGTGTTCGAGGCTTTGAAGCCGGGCCTCCACAAGCGCATCATTGTCGATGAGCCTCTTGGCACGCATTTCGATGTGCTTTAGCGTGTCCAGCTGATATTTGGCCGAGCCGTCCCAAAGGTACTCCATAGTCAAAGTCAAAATCATTTATTGCTATTGGTATAATAGAAAGACACTCAAAGGTTGATAATGGTATCAAAATACAAAAAAAAACATTTGTTTTGTTATGTACAAAAATTTAGCGCAATTTTCAGGTGAAAGGTTAACTCATCAACAAAATGTTGTTCCAGGCGTATTCACAGTGGACCCGACGAGTGGTATAATCTACCCGGGCCGGCCGGTGCTGGGCAACACGAGCTACCAGCTGGTGGTGGCGGCGCGCGACGGCGGCGGCGCCGGCCCGCACGCCGACACCGCGCGCGTGGACATCTACGTGCTCAGCGTCAACAGGCACAGTCCCGTCTTCGTACAGCCGCCCACTGACGTCCGACACTTGGATATACCTGAGGTAAGACGCATTTTGGTCAGATTAAACTGTCAAACACCAAGCGGTCACCGGTGACCGCAATCTATTGTTCTATAATTGTGTCTACAAAACCGGTACTCGACGAGTTAAGGTGGATGATCAAAAATATACACACTTGCTTTTATGACATAGACAGGTATTTGTTTTTAAACATGACTAATCGCACATTATTAATGACACTATCCGCAATATTATTGATGGTCTATTGTTAAAAAGAAAGCAGACATTTTTTAACCGATTACTAATAACACATTGTGACGTGGTCAAAACATTACTATTGTAAAATTTAAGAAGAAATTCATTATCCTTATTCCCATATCGTTAGTTTTAAAAAATGCGACCTGAATGTTTCAATCAGAAGTAAATCTGAACCAATCACACAATTATCATAAAATTCAAAATTCTAACAGTTAATCACCCCATTAATCCCCAGAACGCAGCCCAGTCAGACTACTTAATCACTACAATAAAGGCGACGGACGAGGACAGTGGTGAGAATGGCCGTGTCTCCTACTACCTGAAGGTAGACAACCAGAATGTTGGGGAGACGCAGGAGTTCAGCCTGGATCCTGATACTGGAGAGTTGAGAACCAAGACCTTCCTGGATAGAGAGCATAAAGCTGAATATCAGGTTAGTTGAAGACTTATTTAGGAGATTCGGAAGTCTCTTGGCATATTTTAAAAGTCACGAAATATGACTACATTAATAAATAAATAATTCAGTTATTTCTCAACATCATCATTAGTAATAAAGATACATCAAACAATGATACAATCAACTTGAGATTAGTGTTTGTAGTAGGTAAAAGCTGTATCACACTAGTGTCTTCTGCAGTGCATCACTTACTAAATTAGACATAAACAATAACTCTGTTCAGTGGTCAACAAAGACGAGCTATCGATATCTTTTACTCGTTTTTCTTTAGATTCGTCGAGGCGTTGGAAACTATATTTACGGAACGAGTAATTTTACTGGCAAATTATTTTCTCAGCAGCTTAGATTTTAACGTCTTCATTCATAATATAATCAGAGGATACATTTCGGTGAGTGTGCGAGATAATTACACAACTTGATTCCCCCTAGTCCTTTCCATAGTCCGTACCACAAGACAATCGGCGAAGCGTCACCAATTCATAGTAGATGTCTCACCCACACGTTTCATGAAGGGTATTTTCGAGGGTGTCTTCGAGGCTCGATTGGAGTTACTTATGGGTCGCCGTGCTCTATCGTAGCCCGCATTACCGTTTACCACCAGGTCGCCAAATAGTGGTTAAACGTCGGCCCCTCAAATATATTATAAAAAATATATATGTATATAAAAAACAGTACAAAAATCACTTAACAGTACCTATTTCTATTACACTTCTTTGAACCATTCTTCTTATTTCTAGCTGGTAATAGCAGCAGTGGACAACGGTACACCAGCCCAGTTCGAGAGCCTTCGACTCCTGACGGTAGTACTGGTGGATGACAATGACAACGCGCCGCGGTTCCCGGCACCGGTCCATCAGTTCACCATCAAGGAGAACCTGCTGCCAGGAGTTATTATTGGTAAGTTGAATTTATACTTATTCTCTTAAAAGCTATGGTGAAACATACCTACCATGTGATGTGTCTTAGTATTTATTGAAATGAAATGATGTTATGGGGTCTTTTATATCAGATACGTGTTTGTTTCTTTTAAAAGTGAGCATTAACAATAACGACATTAGGCATTTGTAAGCAAATAATGAGTAGGTATACTTAAATATGAGTACATTGTTCAGTGGCATAATGTGCACCTCTGCCAACCCCTTCGGGGATAAAAGAGGTGATGATGCTATGTATAAATGTAACACGAATAAGCTAAAAAAATGTATACGAAATCTTAAGAAAGAACGAACAGACTCTAAAACCATAATTAAATTAATTATTTATGTCTACAAGCTTAACAAGATATTAAACTGCCAAACACCAAGCGGTCACCGGTGACCGCAACCTATTGTTCTATAATTGTGTCTACAAAACCGGTACTCGACGAGTTAAAGACATATAGTTCAAAAACCAAATCATTAACGGTTTCCATCCATTAATCATATCAATAATTTCCCTTAATAATTACAGGTACAGTAAAAGCAACAGACAAGGATTCTGGGGAGAACGGCAAGGTATACTACCACGTGCTGGAGGGGAACCAGGAGGGAGCCTTCACCGTCGACAGGACACAAGGAGTCATCCGGGCTAATATCAGCTTCGACAGGTGGGGGGAAAAAATTCATAAGAGATATAACTGATGTGTAGAAGAGTCTTTGTGTAAAAATGTAGTAGAATAAGTGACTCGCATTTGGCCAGGTTCTATAAAATTAAATGTTGTTTTAATAACTTAATACGTGGAAGAGCCATTCTTCGACTTGAATTAGTCAGTAAGGGCTCGTACACAACACTCGTAGAAAATTACGACACGAATTGCTGCGATGCGATTTTGTGCGACAAGACGGCTCCCAGCGTGAACATTCCTTCGACGACCGCCAACCATACTAAACGTATTTTATATTCAAAACTAGGTCGTGACATGGATCTTAAAAAGGAGCGGGCACTTCTGTTATTGCTTACGAGATACAGGACAAAGAAACAAAAAAGATTTTGGGAAGATAAGATTTTGATATGCGGTGCGAATCAATACGCAAGTTCTTGCGAGGCGTAGAAAGAGGTCGCACATTTTTACGATGCGACGTCCATCACAGATATGTGTACGAACCCTTAGACCAAAGTGATACCACGGTCTTACAGAAAACCAGCGTGGAACAGGGCTTGCGTTGAGTTTCACTTTTCGCTACCAAGTCCAGTCCTATCACCATCTCCAATTCCTCAAAAGGCCGGCAACGCATTTACAACTCCTGATATTGTGGATGTTTACAACCGCGGATAGCTTATCATCAAGTGATCAGTGTGTTCGATTATCTCAAAGAAAGTTGTACATTTAATATCCAATAAAACCAAATTTACTGCATAGTCTCAATTTAGAAACTAGCCTGACAAATCATTCTTCATTTTCAGAGAGAAGCAATCAGAATACTCATTCACGCTCTACGCTAGCAATAACCCGATACTAGAGCATGCGGCGGCCATCTTGAATTCCGTGGACAACAACACTGACGGCCAGGACCCCAGCGTTACAGTCGTGAAGGTGCGGGTGCTGGATGAAAATGATAATGAGCCCAAGTTCCAGCACAAGATTTATTATGCAGGTCAGTATTTTATACGATCTCCGGCCACCGTAAGCGCGGGCCTGCACCGCTGCATCCGCAGGGATGGCGAGCATGTTTGACGCGTCGCCCGACCGAACCAGACCTGAGCGTATGGCGTGTTGCTTACCGCGCGCGCCATAGAGCCATCAGACCACCACAGATGGGGCCCAATAGGGCCGATGCCGATACGGAGTCGCGGAGAACCTAACGGGTAACCGGGGCTCCGGCTCGACGTGCAGGAGAAGGAACGGGGTGGTTTTTAGTCAGTAACAGTCTGACACTCCACAACACCGCTGAAATTCACCAACGCGCATAAAATATAAACGTGTTTATTTTTAATTACAGGTATAAAGCACACAGCACGAGTAAACGAGCCAGTAATCTCAGTAGTGGCTGAGGACCCGGACCTGGATGAAAATGGAACCCTGGTGTACATGGTGGCAGCCTCCAACCTGTTCAAGTTTGGAGCCTCGCAGTCCAGTGGCAGTGTCGTGCCGTCGCCGTTTAATATTAGTCAGGATGGTGAGCGCTTGATACAGATTTGTTTTTTTTTAATTGAGGAGCAAACAACATATTAAATCAGCGAAACCCATGTATAACGCCTCACCCAGGCGGGAGAAGTCATTCGACGATTTGAAGGTTCTAACTGTGCGAAACGCAGTATAATTTTTTTAATTAGTTACTTCATAAGTTCTGTTGTTAAAGTTTATCTACACAAATTAATCACAATATTAATTTCGAAAAGCATTATTAACTTTCCGGAAGTATTAGAAGTCCCGAAAATCACACTGCTGTTCTTAGTTTTATGCCTGGTTTATAGTTCTAGCAGAAATATACCAAATTTTTTTCTACACGTAAGTAATTAAACATGTCTCCCAGGTATCTTGATGACGGCGCACTACATGGCGGAGTACAACCAGGACCGGTTCGTGCTGGACATCATCGCGCAGGAACTCGCTCCGCCACACAGACAGGCCAAGGCACAAGTCTACGTGAGTATCTACTTCTATTCTATTGTTACATACAATTTCAAAAGCTTGTGAGAGAGCTTGGTAGACAAGATGGTAATCGCAGTTTAAAAAGTGGGTCTGTCATCAAAAAGCGCTACTGTTCTTTCTGGCAGTTTCTGCTAAGTCCTTTTTCAAGTTCTGCAGTCCTTTTAAGTCAATTGTTATGATACCCACAGAACATATAAATAAGATTACCCATGGTAGAGTACAAATGGTATGAAAATTTGTTCTGACCCAGTATTATATCAAATTCTTAAATGTTCGAGGGTAGAGTGAGGCACACTCGTTCTCCTATTGTCGGCCTCATTGCTTTTTAAAAATAAATAATCCATCTTTTGGAATAAAAGTTTGTCGATTTTTGTCCAACTCAGCCATGAGTTTAGTTCAGTAATAACAGTAATGGCTAAATTGTATAAATTTAAATTACTACTTTGATTAAAATATATGATAATAATTTGACGAGTCCAAGCTTGTACTATAACCTCGTTTATTTTGACGTGCCAGGTGTGGATAATAGACCGCAGCTCCCTGATCCGCATGGTGGTGTCCCGCAGCTGCAGCGCGGCGGAGGGCGGCGTGTGGCGCCGGCTGGCGGCGGCCGGCGCCGCGCGCCTGGTGCCGGGCCGCCGCCTGCCGCTCGTGCAGGCCGACCGCCGGTACGACGACTGGTGAGCGGACATGCTTTTAAATACTTTACCTATCATCCAGGTACTAACTGAATGGTCGTGAACATAAGTAGTGTTATCATTTGACATGAGACTATTGCGAAGTGTCCCAGTCCAACAGGAGTGGAATAATTGTCACAATGCTGATTCATCAGAATTATGCCCGTATATGGTCGATAGGTATTTCAAAATTCATCATTAATAGCCTGTTCTCGTCCACTGAGCTCGATCTTCAGCTTCACGCACCCAACAACTACCATCCACCTTGCGGATATCGTCACTCCACCTAGCTGGAGGGCACTGGGCACCCTACCCTATTTTTGCCTAGACGCGGTCTCCACTCCAAAACCCGAACGGTCATCGGTTCTTCGACAATTGTGACCGATCCACTGTCATTTCAAGTAGCTAATTCTTTGGGCTTTTTATGCTGTCAAACACCAAGCGGTCACCGGTGACCGCAACCTATTGTTCTATAATTGTGTCTACAAAACCGGTACTCGACGAGTTAAATTAAGTTTAAATTGATTTGACTTTATTTCGACACTTAGCAAAATACATTATCCATTTAAATATTGAACGAGAATAAAAAAGACTAGTAACTTGCAACTTCGTAATTCAAATCCCATTTATATAGCACATTTCTTTCTTATTTTTAAGAGTTATTCTAGGTCATAGATTATTTTTAAGAATAATATCTGAACAAATTCTATTCCTTACAATTCCAGGTGTGAAATCCACTTACACGCAGTAGACCCGAACACATACCAAGTGCTGCCAGTGGAGAAGGTGCTGGAGACCATCGACTCCAAGTACGACCAGCTGAAGGACGTCTACCAGGAGTACGGGGTGGAGACACTTATTGCAGCCAGTGCTACTTCTAAAGGTGAGGGTTGAAAATATATAGAGTTTGCTAGAACTCTTGGTTTAAAAATTGTATCATTTTTACTCGATCTGACACGTCTGTACCTGACTTCTAGATATACCAGCTATTTCGTCGATGTTGATGAAAAATATTCATCTACCTTTGATCTTCTCAACCTTTTTTTCCTTCTTCTAATATCCATGTAAGGTCCATGTTTTTTACCCCACACTATACTATATATATATATAGGGTATTCTCCTGTGTCGTGGGTGCGTTTACAAACATACAAGTTCACATACACATCACACCCAGATCCGAAACAACATTTTGTGGATCACACAAAGAATTGAACCCGCGACACGTTGCGTGGCAGCCTGTTGTTAAGCCTCCGCGCCAACCGTGCAGTCAAATTTAGATATTTCCAATGAAATTAGTCGGTCGCTAATCTTCACACGCTTTGCAAGAAATGGCATAAATATGACAGAAACACGTAGACTGTTTCTTTTACAAAATAGAAGGTTTTCATAAGAACATTAAGTATAAACCACTTGGAATAAACACATTAATGCTATTCCAGCTCCAGATAGCTTCGACCCAGCCCTAGCAGCTCTGATAGCACTCCTCATCGTACTGTTTACTGGCATCGTCACCTTTATCGTTGTCTGCGCATGTCTTAAACATTGGTAAGTAATGAGGACGATAAAATAAATCTGCTAAATATTCAATTTATGTCAGTCGTCTCTCAGTAGACAAATACTGCCATGTAATACGAAACTTTATGCTAATGTAAACAATTCTCGTTTCCAGGGTCATACCACCACCGTCCCTACAATCCAGTAAAGGAGACAGTTTAGCCAGACGCCGTATATTAGAGGAACTGTCAACGACAGAGAACCCGTTGTGGCTGGAGACCAAACTCCGGCCCTATGAGGAACAAGAGCTCACTATGAATGTATTTGGAGACCTGAATGAACAACCGGCAGCTGAACCCGCACCGGTATGTAGAGAGTAAATCTCAAGCTCAAAGTAAATTTGTGTGCTGCATGTCCAACTGAATGTTATGTTATATTTTACTACTTTATTGTACTAAGAAAGTTCAAAATTTTTGTTAGTCTACTGAAAAGTCTAAAACTGCATAACATCACACGTTTAATCCACGAAGAGGTAGGCAGAGGTGCACATTACGGCACTTGATGCCACTGTATAATGAAACATGCACTTTTCACTATTTATGTTATGAGTCCTATGTAATAGGGGGTAAGCCTATTGCGGGCACAATTCCAGACTCCGTGCTACCATCGTCTAAACTACTTAACAAAATATGATGTCTTCGTTTATAACATTACTCAAAATGTAACAAAAATTTAATGTGTGTTACAGTTTACACTTACCAACCACTTTAAACAATGGTAACTATGTAGTAATAAAAACATTTACAAACACACAATTAATTAAAATAATTTATATAAAAATAATTTTAATAATTATGCTATTGTAGACGGACAACACCTACGCAACGATACAAGGCAGTCGAACGACGGAGAGGTTCGGTGACTACGCCACGCTGGGCGGCGACTCACCCACGCCATTAGAAGCTGCCTTGGGATTCCAGGTAATATAACGTAGTAGCTACTCAGTACTCCTGCATTCTACCTAATGAAACACGGCTATCCTACATGAAACTTGTAGTTCACATAGTAGTCGACAAAGGATTTTCTTTTACACAATAATATTTTTTTTACTATTTACAGGGTAGCACATTCAAACCGCCTTCACCAGACACGCCGGAACCTCCTCCCAGACCTTCAGGGTTAGGAGGGCTCTGATGGTAAGTAAATATCCAAAACTTACATACATGATAGAACATTACATTTGATGCGTCTTAGCCTCGTGACTGGTCGCGGAGAACCTAACGGGTAACCGGGGCTCCGACTCGACGTGCAGGAGAAGGAACGGGGTGGTTTTCAGTCAGTAAGAGTCTGACACTCTCTCCCGCCTCACCCAGGCGGGAGCAGTCATTCGATGATTTTCCCCCTTAAAAAAAAGCCTCGTGACTGACTTCATTTTCACCCAGGCGGGAGCAGTCATTCGATGATTTTCCCCCCTTAAAAAAAGCCTCGTGACTGACTTCATTTGCCATACAGTCCACTACTAAAATATTAATTAATTAAAAGCGATATTTTTGTTGCAGATACGTCCAAAACAAAATGGTGGAAGTTATAAATACTAAGTGTAAATATATGGTAACTAGGTAGTGCATGTTGGCAATGTGTTATAACACAACATAAGATATTACTCAATCTGTAACATTTTGAGTAATATTACATTAATTTATGTTACAAATATAATTAACAAGTTACAAGGTCTTTTCACTTGGAAATTACTGTAACAATGTCTCAAATATATTGAAACTTATTTTCGGTTTTTCGAAAATGTTACAGAATGAGTAATTATCGAAACTCAATCTAAGACTGTCAGAAGATATTAAAACATAATTATATTTTTGTTACCATTTAAAAAAAAACTTATTTTCTATACTTTGTGATACATTGACAACGTCCATTTTTATTTTATTTTAGGAACAAATTCTTCATAGCAATTGATATTTCTGGATATTTCTTTTTTTGGAGAGTTGGAACAGTAGATGTTATTTAAATATACGTACTTCCTTAAGAACAAGCGTAATGATATAGTAATTATGACCTTCTTTTTAAATGAGAGAAATTATTGTTATTCTAAGTTTTTTAAACGAAACAACTGACCGAATTGTCTATAAGTCATTATTGACGCTACATTTAGGGGGGGTTTCTGGGCCCTGATTCCCGCACGGAACAACGCTTTGTGTGATCCACAGATGGTTGTTCCGGGTCTGGGTGTGATGTGTATGTGATTGTATATTTGTTAACGCACCCACGACACAGGAGAAAATCCTAGTGTGGGGGCAACGCCTTTTGTTAAGAAAGAAATTGTAGATACTACTCCAAAAGGGAAAATCAAGAAAATCTTTTTACAGTTAGTCTATAAAAATCTACAGTAATAAACTTTTTATATTTTGATACTACTCTTATCCTGAATCTCATTATAATCTTAGCCAATCTTTTAGACTTATATTCTAGACCTGTAATATATGTATAAATAATAAATGAATAAATTATTTCCAATCTTTCTCGTAATAATAACTGCCATATAAATATATTGTAAATTACAATTATTGTACAAATTACAATATTTTTAGGACGATTTTTTGTAATGTATTCTTATGCTTAAGGGACCAATTTGAAAAGATACAAATTTTTTATAGTGTATTTTTTATAAAATCTATATTTTGTAGGAATGCGCTGGCGCATTTTTATATTGTTATTATTAACAAGTAATTAGTATATTAAATACTTAATATACGTAGCATTTTTGACTTGACCTTTTTCAAAGACATTTTTTATATTTTATACGATTTTGAAAAATACGCTAAGGGTCGATTTTTCAATCATAAGTTAATTCTTAAAAATCGGCCGTACAATGTTAGCACGGTTTTTGGAACAACTGGTCACACTAAAATGTTATGCATTTTACTTTAAAGAACACTGACAGATACTATACTAGCCAAAGTTGGTACGAACAAACTTTTATAATATTAAAAAATTCTATCTCAACATTAGGGATATTTTATTCACAATGTTTTTAAGTATCTGTTATTTGTAACTTGACTGATAATGTGATGTATTTTTTTAAACGTCATGAAATGTGTCAAAATGAATTCAACCCCTTAATATTTGTATTGACTTCCTTACCATGTTCTTCTTTGCCTATTTTTTGGTTTTTATTAAATATGGTCAAACAGTCCCTTAATAATTTCTTGTATAAAATAAATAAATAGTCAGTAAGTTAAGTACCAAGATGTAAATATATATTTTTATACCCTCGAGTATTATTTAACAACGAAAGAGCAATAAAGAGATTTTTATATCGATATGTTGTTTTTGTTTAACTATCCTTTATTAATATTATGATTTCTTAAGAAATTCTTTAAAAATACGTATCTTTATTATACTGTATAAGCATAGTAAGTATACTAAATATTATCATAAAAATTCAAAGAACACAGAGATTCACAAATTATCTAAAGATAATAAAGGGTGACATTACCTTAAATACCAAAAAAATAACGAAATGTTTTACTATATCATTATCATCGTCATTATCATACCATCACGCCCTTTATTCCGAAGGGGTAGGCAGAGGAATACGGCATTGCCACTGTACAATGTAACATCTACTTTTCATTATGTTATGAGTCCCATGCAATATTGGGTGAACCTATACCGGGTACATTTCCAGACTTCGTGCTACTATTGAGATTTTTTATAAAACCCAGTAAGTACTTTGCTCGCCCCGGGAATCTAACCCGAGACCCCTTGCCTGGCGGTCGCATTTGCGACCACTCGTCCAATGAGGCAATGAGTCACTATTTAATAAAATACCAAATAAAACAATCATTAAAAAAATCTTATCATACATATAAGATCATCATTACATATTTAAGAAATCATTAGTATTTTTTTTTAGAAGTCAAACATTTTTCGAAGGATTTTTTACAAAGTTTTGCTATTTATTACAATAATTATGTACTTAAGAACTAATAAACAATAATGCTAAGAATATCACAATCACGTTTTAATATTGTAGCATTTATACAAAGTGTCCATGACTGCTCGTATTCGTTCCAGGTACCTGGACAGCTGTGTCTTCAGACATTCCTCCAACTCCTGTAGTGAGGAGTTGTAGTAGGCGTACAGGTCATTCATAGTGCTAAGTTTTAGAATCACTAGTCTATGGATTACCTCGTCAAAATTATCGTTTTGCATCTGAAACAAATTATTTATGATTATCGCTTTTAATGAATGACTGTTAAGGTATTCGAAGGCGTGACTATCAAACAATAAGTGTCTGGATCGATTCCTGGATTGAACAAAATAAAGTATTTGTTTTTTGGTGTTCCGTAAATCAGAGAAATGATATTGATAGTAATGTAAAAGGCGTGATGTTATGTACATACATAACATCACGCCTTCTATCCTCGAACACCTCGGTACAATGTAACACCCACTTTTTCATTATTTATGTTATGAGGCCCATGTAATAGGGGGTGAGCCTGTTGCCATATACCGGGCACAATTTCAGACTCCCTGCTATTACTACATTTTTTTAAAAAACCCAATAATACTTTGCCCGACCCGGGAATCGAACCCGAGACCCCTGGCCCGGCAGTCGCTCTTGCGACCACTCGGCCAACGAGGCAGCCAAATCAGAGAAATGATATTGATAGTAATGTAAATAGGTAATGATTGTCACTTGTAAAATTATAAATAGTTTCAGCATTAAAATAAGTACTTACTTAATTTCACCTATTATAAAAATTAATTCAAAATATTGATCAATAATGCTATCTATCAAATAATGTATCAATTGTAACAATTTGACATATGCAACGTATATTGGTGGAACTAGTGAACAGTTCGTTCAGAGCTCATTTTGATTTAGAGACACCGAGGAAAAAACATGATTGTAAGAACATTTTTTAGAAATTATACAAATACCATTCAATTTGAGAGCTGCTATAAGTTATAATTTTTTTACTATCCAGTACTAACCAAAATTAGTACGTTTGTTTGTAATATTCGTAAACTTTGATCAGTAAATAGAGCACACCAAGATTTCATTATAAATCTCTTAATATTACTATTTTCCTTCAAAGAGATGTGATATTCTACCTATGAGATAAGAGTAACTGTTTACTCACATATCGAACCAAACACTGGTTCATTGCCCTGTTGTTGCCAACATTTTCGTCATTGCATAGATTCTGTAAGTACCTGTAACCTTTTCTCCAATTTGCTATCTGAAATAAGAAAGTATTTTGTTAAAAGGTTTTATTAATACAAAGTTATCAATTTTACCGCATGCTCTGTTTTCTTCATAGGCTAAGCAGATGAAATCCAATCCCGAGAGAACAGCGCTGTCCATGAACATCCGCAACACAAATGTGGGAGAGCCATGCTTCGGCACGAATGGGCCGGCTCGACCGGAGTGATACCACCTCGCCAAAAACCGATGTGAAACGACGCTTGCGTTGTGATTAGTCGTGTGAGTGAGGATACTGAAGGCCCATTTTCCCCCCCCCCCCTCCCCAATCCCATAATCCCGAACAATCCTCAAACTCCTTTAATTTGTTGTCAATATAAAATGGAATGGAATGGAGTACGTAGAGTTGTCGAGTTGTCGTCGACGAGACAAGTCACCCTGTAGGTATAGTTGTTGAGGAAAACTTGTATTATGGTCATTGGTCACCTGTTTCTCAATTTGCTCCACATTTTCTCTCATGGTCACATCTCTAGAGGCGGCAGTCTTCAAGCATTCGTGTTCGTTATCGTGGTAAAGCCTTATTGTTCGTCTGGTTTCTTTCCTGTGGGCGTAGAGGCAGTTCACCCACTGCAATAATAATTGAAACTTTGATAAGTTTTAAGATTTAATAGTTGCTTGCTTCTTGCTCACACCATTAACTCGTCGAGTACCGGTATTGTAGACACAATTATAGAACAATAGGTTGCGGTCACCGGTGGCCGCTTGGTGTTTGACAGTTTAACTCTTCTCTGCATCACCCAAAGGTCAGACTGGGAGAAAATGCCTGCGGCATTAAGTCCACCTTATGTACATTTTGTGCATGAAGCTTTAAAATAAATAAATAAATAAATATTGTTGTAGTGTATTTACTAAGTAAGCGTAAGTAGTGATGTGAATCCAAATACAAACATTAAGTTTTGAGCTATGAGTATCCTCTTTCTAACTCAGCATACATACCATCACGCCTTTTATCCCCGACGTGGTAGCCAGAGGTACACATTACGGCACTTAATGCCACTGCACAATGTAACACCCACTTTTCACTATTTATGTTATGGGTCCCATGTAATAGAGGGTGAGCCTATTGCCATATACCGGGCACGATTCTATTCTCCGTGCTACTACTGAGAATTTTTAAAAACACAGTTATACTTTGTTCAAATCGGGAATCGAACCTGGTCTCAGGCCTCGACTCTCGAACTCGAGTTCGAGTTCAACATATTCTTTAAAATCGGTTTTTCGGCATCGGTGGTAAGTATGTGAGTGAGATTACTGGAGGTCCAGCTCTCCCCAAAAAGAAATGTTACTTTAGTCTTGCTAGTGGAAATGGACGGTGCTGATTGCTTAGTAATTGCTTATCATCAGGTGTTCTGTCTGCTGATGGAGTTCCATAGCAGTTTTTTTAATGGGAGGGGCAAACTCCTCGTTAAAACTCTATGCACCTCCGTCTTATCATCAAAGAACCAAGTTAGGTATATTTACCACTACATTCCCATTGCCTCCCAAACTATGTTCCTGATGCTTCACCATCTGCAGCCGGTACTTCATGCTGATGTCCAGGCGTTTGATCTGGTAATCATCAGCCCATTTCTGCATCAGCTTTCTATCATCTTTCTGCATGATCTTTGAGGAGTTCACATCCAGCTCATATTTACGGATGAAGATGTTTGTTTGCGATGGCTGTAATACAATACAGAAGAGTATTTATTGTTGTTCCTATCAGACGCTGACGTATGTTTGAATTTTTCTACATAGGCTGCATTGCGTATGCCAGACCTCATATTTTTGTCTAAAATGTAACTAACTCTGTGACTGAAAATAACAGAGATAGTGTTGACATATCTTCATCATCATCATCAACAGCCTATAAATGCCCACTACTGAGCAAAGCCTCTTCTCACACGGAGATGGTTTGAGCATTAATCACCACGCTTGCTCAATGTGGGTTGGCGATTTCCAACTTATAATTAGAAATTTTCTCACGATGTTTTCCTTCACCGTTTGTCAGCGGTGTCTAAATAATCTTCGAAAGTACATATAACTCGGAAAAAGTGACATTGGTACTTGCAGTTGGTAGGTTCCGACCCAGCATTCTCATGCATGAGAAGTGGGCGTCTTAAACCTCCCGGCCACCACAACTTAGACAACGAATAAATGTAAATTTATGTGTCCCAAAAACAAAACGCTTTTTTTTTTAAGGGGGGAAAATCATCGAATGACTGCTCCCGCCTGGGTAAGACGGGAGGGAGTGTCAGACTCTTACTGACTAAAAACCACCCCGTTCCTTCTCCTGCACGTCGAGTCGTAGCCCCGGTTACCCATTAGGTTCTCCGCGAAAAAAAACAAAACGCTAAGTTAGTAAGAAGTGGACCAATTGAATGGAGAATGTATTTACAGTTGGTTTGACAATGAAAGACAGAACAGAATTTAATCAAGAAGTATTTCAAAATGCACTGATTATGGATAGAAGAAGAAAGTTAATCAGCACGTTAAATCACTGGGACTGATAATTTATCGTCTTGATTTAGACCACCCAAGACCCACAACAATAATAGCACAACAAATAACTTAATTTCTAATCAAAATATCAACAAATAAGACGGAAATACTTACCACACAAGATGCGATCCTCCACAGTACAGGCAACAAAAAAATTAATAACTTTAGTAACATTTTGTGTAACTTATACTTAATATTTCTTATAAATGTGATCTAGTCGAGAGTCTTAGAGACATTGCGTTATCTGAATGAGAATATGACTTTAGAAGTAAAGTTAGCATGTGTTTGTGATATGATTATTTATTAAATAGTAATCATAATGTTGTTATTAGAAGTAAAGAGAGGTGACGCATGGGGAATATCAATAATCGTAAAACGTGTTCGTACACGCATGTTATGTATTGTGGTGTGGTTGACAATATAAAGCTTTATAAAGAATTTATCACAAACGGGCGGCATGTTTCCGTCTATTACTGGACAACATGCATAGCTCCCTACCGAGCTGTATCGTCAGCTCTTCGCATCTCGCCACTATCAGCCTTAACCTTACAGTTGCCAGCACCTTGTACCTTTAAGTTATTGCACAAATGACTGCACGGTTGGCGCGGCGGCTGAGTGCACATAACGTGTCCGGGATTCGATTCCCGCAGTACCGGAAGCACGGAAGCACTCCGCATCATGACCCGTACTAGAGCCGGACGCGAGAGGTCGCCGTCGCCGATCACGTCCCTGAGGGCACGGCGGTGCCCAACCCACGCAAGGCATTTCCCTACTGTGTGTTCCACCGTGACACCTACGACCTACCTATACTACAATTGCAAAAAGTTAGACTACATATGTGGGTTGGGATATAAATGTGGGAGAGCCATGCTTCGGCACGAATGGGCCGGCTCGACCGGAGTGATACCACGGCCGAGCAGAAAATTGACGTGAAACAACGTTCGCGTTATGTTTTTTCGTGTGAGTGAAGTTACCGGAGGCCCAATTCGAATAAAGTCTGTTCGTTTGCACCTTTTCCCTCAAAATAAGTATTGTATTATCCTGCCTAGAATAATAACTATGTCTGACTGTACTGCACACTTGATAACCTGAGGTTATCAGTTCAGATCGAATTAATATTTATTTGCATGCAGTGACTGCATCGCAAGGTCGATGTGAATAACTTTATCATTACGTATGCACAGCTATTTTGCTTCCTTAAACTTGGAATGGCTTGGTCAAATTTTGTGCTAAATATTTAATGGAATATTTAAGATATTTTTCATTTTTGAATAATAAGAATTTGTTAATAAGTTGTTACGTAATTTCAGGTGTCAGCATGCTGCTCATTGTTACGGGCTCTTAGTGTGGCTTGAAATCAATCGAGTTACTCGTCAAATAGTGTCACTTCTTTAAATGAGTTTCAAATTAAATTAATTTAATTCAATTAAATGTTGGTTTGAAATGGGAAATTAAAATAAACTACAACACAGAAAATAATGTTAAAATATACATTTATTATAAAAATAAATTGTCAAATACATTTCTTTACAATAACATTAACAACAATGATGGCGTAATATTAGTTCATATTTATTTTATTATTAAACAAAACTTGTACTTACGTATTTTAATGATTGTTATTTTACATTTGTATTTTTGAGTTTTAAATTACAATAGATTATTAAAATTCAGATATCATTCTAATTTATGTCGTTTAAATTGTACTTGCAGATGTATGGCACAGCAATTAAAATTATTCGTTTATTTTCGTATGAAATTGTAAATTTAATGCAGTTTCTGTCCATAAAATAGACCCGAAAATACAGATGTCAAACAACAACAATAATACATTTAGTTAAAAATACAACAAACATTTTTAAAATCTACATTTAGAACTTAATTCCAAATTAAATTATACATTTATTTTACAAACTATCACAGTGTGTCTGTTTACCGAATTTTAAAACTTATAAAATATTTTTTAAAATGCAGTGGCGACTTGTCTCATTCCATTTTTATTTTTATCTTGTATCCATTTTACATTCACTGTATAAAAAAATATTATTTTACAATTTATACATTGTAGGTATTTAAGTATGTTTCACGAAAGTTATAATACAAACATTGTATTTATTTTAAAAAATCAAAGTCGATTAAAATCGGTTTATGTACCTTAGACAAGTCCTCACTGTATTTTATAAAAAACACATTAAAATCAAAAAATACCAATCGCATAACCCAATTACATTCGATAACCAAAAAATAAATTATTTTTACACAATTTAAAATCTACACAATTTTGAGTCTTCTTACATCTACGTACAAAGTTTATTTTTGGATGAAGCAATTAGAGTAAAAATAATTATTCACATTTTTAACATAATGTTTTATGAATACAATTGCATTACATTGCGAGAATTGAATTTGTGTAAAACATTTTACGTAATTTAGATAATATACTTAAACATGAAATTAAAATATAATAATTTCGAATCGTTTTTTGTACTTCAATGTCAACAGTTCACTATTGAAATAAAAACTTCCCCTACGCCTCAACATAAAGAGGTATGGCATAATTTTGTACTTATTTCGGACCTTATCCGTTCGTTACAGAAAGTCCAAATTCGGATTTTTGGACAGTTCGGATGTTTTGTCAAAATATCTCGAGGAATTAATCACAAAGGTTTTATGTGAATCGAAAAAACCATTAGATAAATTAAAGAATAGATTATAGTTAATACTATTCGACTAATTAACAGGTTAGATATCAATCTCATCAATTTCACTGACGATCAACTCTAGTTAATCAATGGCGAATAATTTTATACTAAATTAACTAATATGACACTATTGTCTCAGATGACTGAAGACGATTCTTTGATCTTCTAAGAGTGATCTGGGTCGGAAGTTACTGTTCAAAAGAAACAAGATTAATTTATAGAATCAGACTATTATAACTAGGTACCGATTTCAGTAAGCAATCTGAATTCTAAATCTTTAGATTAAGTTCGACTTTTGATATTGGTTCTATTTTTATATATAGGTACGTTTATGTAGACGTTTGACAACTATCTCGCTTGGTGGTAAGCGATGATGCGGTCTACGATGGAATACGTCGTCTCATAAGCAACCTATTCACTCGGCCTTTGAAGACACCCAGGTTATACGAACAAGAATATCACTCCTCAGCAGTACGCACATGGAATCTTGATGTGAAGCGCTTCGTGCTTGTGGGTGGGATCTATCATGAATGAAAATAAATAAAAAAGTATGTAGACTAAAAATTTAGAATACGACTACTTTAGATTTTGACGTTCAAAAGTGCCTTCCTCGTCTAGTTGAAATAAATGATTTCGACTTTGACTTTGACTATGTTCAAAAGAGATTTGTGCGTAAATTTGTTAATATTATAATGAAAATTTTTATCAGACACTTGGGTCTAAGAAATAACCTATAAATGTTTTTCAAACTAAGAATTTTGAATAACTTTCGACCCCACTCAAGAAACGAGAACCTATCGTAATCGCCTCCTATTTATACAATATCTGTAGTCTTCCATCGCGTCCCTCGACCTGACGATGATCTGCTTCTTCAAATGGTTTAGTTTCCGACGTGCATGGGACACTAGGTCCCTGTAAGATCTCCTGGTGAATGGCATGTCCTCTCGAACTCGATGGATCTCGTCCAGAGCTAAACGACGCCAGCGCCTTACGCGTGGGGTAGTCTGAAAGAGAGATTGAAGATTGAGTGAGAATTTAAGTATGTATATAGCATAAAACTTTATTATTGTTATTTTTATTCTAAACATTGGATATCTGGGCTCCTTCTATGAGGATTCTTTATGTGATAACCGCCTATAGACACCTGAAACACCAGAGGCGTTACAGGTGCGTTACCGGCCTTTTGGGAATTTGGAATTTGGGGCTCGGGGATTATGGAGACTGGGGAGTGGTAATTGGGGCTCCGGTAACCTCACTCACAAGACGAAATATAACGCAAGCGTATCACTTCGGTCGAGCCGGCCCATTCGTGCCGAAGCATGGCTCTCTCATACATTTGTGATTTGTAAAAAAGAGTTTTTGGAAAAAATAGCAGACTTATTACCTATAGGGTGGTAAATTAATTAGCTAAATTATTATTGTTCGGTGTCGTATTAATTTAAAAGTTAGACAAACGAACAAAGTATAGAGATGCGATTTGCCCATTTCTTATCGCAATAATAATACGAAGAAATTGGAAAGGTTGGTTCAACCAGTACTACACTTCCTTGAATACTTAGTCTGCTAGTGTTAAAGTTCCGCGTATTAGCAAACAATACACATTACATTCACAGCTTGCTCAGCATTACAATTAATTGTTACACTTTCTCTCTTAATCCCAGAGCTGAGCTGTGTGCATATAAATGCAATGTGTAAAATAGATCTGACGATACATACAAAAACGTCCCTTCTTACAATACGTTTAGGCATGGAACACAATCTTGAGCGAAGCAGCCATTCTTGTGACCACAAACGTCAACACATGAAAACATCTAGTTTCGGGATAAAAACTCCAATAAAAATACTACATAATGTCCACAAACTCTTTCGTTAGATTTCTTTTCATAACAAAACATAACATCACGCCTTTTATCCCTGAAGGCAGAGGTGCACATTACGGCACTTAATGCCACTGTACCATGCAATACCCACTTTTCAGTATTTATGTAATGAGGCTCATGTAATAGGGGGTGAGCCTATTGCCATATTAAACCGGGCACAATTCCAGACTCCGTGCTACCCAGGAATCGAACCGAGGAAGATTTCTTTTCACTATTAACTTATAACCCGGATACATACCTCACAAGACAGGCCACAGCCTCTGGTAGCTTTGTCACACCTCTTCAAGTAGTCTTCACTCTGAAATGAAAATACTAAGTCAGACCTTATTTCTATGTATATGTGCATTGTTGCATTGAAATTGCCATATTCTAGACAGACATTTGACAAAATTATGTTCGGCTGACCTGCAGGCTGCAGCTGTAGCCAAATGCCATTTAGCGCTTGTCTACTTTTTTTATGGCATAAGCTGGTAAACGAGCAGACGTATCACCTGATGATAAGCAATCGGCATCGCCCATGGACACCTAGAACATCAGAGGTGTTACAAGTGCCTTACCGGCCTTTTGGGGATTAGGGTTTGAGGAGATTGGGGAAGGGGAGGATAATTTGGCCTCCGGTAACCTCACTCACACGACGAAACACAACGCAAGCGTTGCTTCACGTCGGTTTTCTTTGAGGCCGTGGAGTATCAAAATATACGTCGATTCCATATAATTTTGTTTTCTATTCTACAAGTAGACAAGCGCTAAATGACATTTGCCTGCTATTTACTCGACTGCATTGCAGTTTATATCTAGTATTTATATAACTCGTAAATTATTTTATTGACAAGGAAAATATAAGTTTTAAATTTTCCAGATACATACATACATTATCTATAATATCTGCATTGGATTGCGGATTGCTTATATAAGCAATCCGGAATATATAACGCGGAAATTGAAAATTATGACATTTTCCACTTTCAATAATATTGTCAACAAAATGATTAAAGTAATGTGTTAACATTTCTGGATTTTCCTCTATAATCTACAATTCAAATTGTTTATAATGTATAATTGTATTAATCAAAATGACAACATTTTTTATTCTATGGATATTATCATAGATTCAAATTCCGTGCAAGCCGTCACCAAGAAAATATCCAACACTACTCATGCTGCATACATGACATGTTTTATATCAATCCAGACCTTGTTCAGATGCATCCGAAACACGATCATGTGTCCTAACAGGAACTTGTGGTGGCTGTCTCCGCTGAACATGGCTGCTCTCTGGGCATCATGCTCCACCTTCTTCACCCGGTACTGGAACTTTACCCAGCATTCGTCCACCTGTGGGATAAGACGAATAGCTTGGTTAGAAATTAGTTAATTACACGCTACTTCCGCGCGGTTTCACACGCTCTGCTCAGCTCCTATTGGTCGTAGCGTGATGTTTTATAGCCTATAGCCATCCTCGATAAATGCGCTATCCAACACAAAAAGAATTATACAAATCAGACTTGTAGTTACGGAGATTAGGGTTCAAACAAACAAACAAAAAAACAAACTCTTTCGCTTTATCTAATAGTATAAGATATAAGATAATAATAATTATATTATATTTATTATTTATTATTATACTGAAAGTCATTAGACTTTCAGTGCTTAGACAATAGATATTTAATAAAATAAAAATGTTTTAATGTTTTAATTTTCGGTGGTCCATGTATATGTCCATGGCGAATAAATTATTTTTCTTTCTTTCTTTCTTTCTTTCTTATTGACAGTGCAATGTTTCAAACTGTTTTGTCCTTTTAAAATAAAATTTTGCCTACCCAGTAATTGACCAGTGCCGGGAATCCGGCGGCCCAGTGTACCCAAATTACGCCGGTACTTACGTGTGAAATGTACTTTAGGTACACTGCGTCGCCAGCCGACCTGGCACCGGCTACCCGGCAACCGGAACGTATGAAAACTTACCTAATTGCTCTTTAACGCTGACATGCATGACAATTTATTTCCCGGAATAGTACCTATCTGTTCCATTCATTCAAAATATGTACCTATGTTATATATGTGTGTGTGTTTTTTTTTCTAAGGGGGGAAAATCATCGAATGACTTCTCCCGCCTGGGTGAGGCGGGAGGGAGTGTCAGACTCTTACTGACTAAAAACCACCCCGTTCCTTCTCCTGCACGTTGAGCTGGAGCCCCGGTTACCAGTTAGGTTCTCCGCGACTCCGAATCGGCATCGGCCCTATTGGGCCCCATCTGTGGTGATCTGATGGCCCTTTGAGGCGCGCGCGGAACGCGACGCGCCGTACGCTCGGGTATGTGTGTGGGTAGAGAGATCTAAAATATCACTGCAAATATTCCATAACACCCTAAAACCATTATAACATGTAGTTTACAACCTAATCTACGTATAAATAAAGTTATTTTTGCACCGGTAGCCATAATGTGTTCTAAATATACCGCAAGGCGCAGTATATTGGACACAGGTCGTTAGATTCTATTCTACATGTATTTTGTAGCGGTGAAGACAGTCTGTGACGCAATTATTTCATTACTGAGGCTATGAAGTTAGCGAATTCAATGTCCCGTCCGTGCCGGTGAGACTCCACTTTTGAACTTGAGGCGAAACGCTTTGTACGTGTGGGATATTTTGTACGGTACAAGCCCGCGATAACCTCCCAAACTCGCTTCAACTTTGACACACTAAGACTCGTCTATGGAGTGAGTTATCCACCAAAAAGAGGTTACATTTTGCCATTGTTTGGAGGTATGATGATGAGTACTAGGGGAAAACAAGTTGTGCAATAGGGATGATGACAGGATATGAAAATTAAAAATCTAATTAGTCCGTCAGTTAGGTCATGACAAATATTAGACACGTATTTTTTTTATTTTGATTATAATAAAACAATACTTAGATATAACGAGTTTAGGAGTGGGGGCTAAAACGTCATTTCTACGTATAAAATGTACATAGAAGTGACGTCACGCGACATTTCAAATCAATATATCGACGAAAGTATTCGTTTCTGTAAAAAAATAAAGAATACGTGTCTAATGATTTTAAATAATCTACCAGACGGACATTAAAATGAAAATTATACATCTACCCTATTGCCCTGTACACCCACTGATATGCATTCGATAAAAGATCAAATAAACGAAAATATTGCTCTTTCAGAGCTTTCCAAGTCTAAATAATATTTAACGTCTTAGCTGGCTATCAGATCCGTGAGATGTTCATGAAATTATTCCTTATACATATTAATTTACAGTCGCTGATTGCGTGGCCACACCGCGGTCTCATCATTGCCAAGGTTTACGCGTTGATTGACGCGAGAACATCGATAATTTATTTATTGTATATTAAAATATATTTATGTTCTTCCGATACAGTTTATTTTTAAATTACGTTGTGTACTTTATCAACATGTTTATGTATTATCTCGAGTTCTAAACATCATCGGCTGCGCTTTGCCTCGTAGGTACCTATGCAGCAAATAATTGTTGCGGAGAACCTAACGGGTAACCGGGGCTCCGGCTCGACGTGCAGGAGAAGGAACGGGGTGGTTTTTAGTCTGTAAGAGTCTGACACTCCCTCCCGCCTCACCCAGGCGGGAGCAGTCATTTGATGATTTTCCGCCCTTAAAAAAAATGTAGCAAATAATTAAGAGTTCTAATGTTACTAGAAACTTGTCGGGCATCCCTAAAAGAGTTACATGAAGTGTATCGTATAATTTCGGTGTTTGTGCTTAGTTTACGACCGAATACTGAAAGACTAAGACTAGGTACTCTATTTTATGTCGCGCTTAAGTATAGTTTTGTCCCTACAAATACGGTAGTTTCCTAAACTTTATTTTAATATCCGTCCGGTACATTAATTAAAAATTTTAGCACGTATTTTTTCTTTTCTCACAAAATTAAATACTTTCATCGATATATTAATTTGAAATATCGCGTGACGTCACAGCGTGTCACATTTTGTAGCACGTTATGACGTAACGACCTTCCACTCCTAAGCTTAGAGCCATTTTATCTAAGTATTGCAACTTAATACGACAAAATAAAAAAACATGTATTTTCTAATATTTTTTCATTATCTAACTGACGGACTAATTAGATATTTAATTTTGATACCCTGGAAACTACCCAATTCTTTGTAAATATGACAGAGACGCCACGATGTACGATTAAAATTGAGAGGCCTTTAAGCACTCGGTCGTTAGTTTTATAAATTTTAAAGTATAGTTATCCAGGTGCCTGCCTCGTTGGCCTAGTGGTCGCAAGTGCGACTGCCGAACAAGGGATCTCGGGGTCGGGCAAAGTATTACTGGGTTTTTAAAATTCTCAGTTGTAGCACAGAGTCACAAAAAGTGCCCGGTATATGGCAATAGGCTCACCCCCTATTACATGGGACTCATAACATAAATAGTGAAAAGTGGGTGTTACATTGTACAGTGGTATAATGTGCACCTCTCCCTTTGAGGATAAAAGGCGGATAACTACATACGGTATGTAGTTATGCAGGTAAATAAATAGGTATTTTCTCAATAAGCATTATAAGATAACATTAGATTAGACGTACAGTAGTTAATGTATTAATATTTGCATAAACAAATGCATTTCGAAATCCCTAATTTGATGTACAGCAGATGTCACAGTTATCTAATATCAGACCAGTTGGTACGTAAAGCTGCCATAACCAAGGTTTGGAAATGGATCGGTGGCATTGATTTATTCTTAGGTATATCAGAGTAAATCATTTAGGTACCTTAGCCAAATGGGTTTGACAGAAACTTGGTATAGTAACGCATTGATCTGGAATTTATTTGAAATTGTATAATAAATGATAAGTTTATTAAATTAAGTAGGTAAATTGAACGGGTTACCAACTGTTCTATATTTTTTTCATTACCTTTTTAATTTTATTGTAGGTAAGTATTTTGTAATATGTCTTAATTGGTTTCTTCTTTTTCATTAGATACTCATTGTATTTTTATTAAATTTTCTGTTTTATTTATGCTTCATCGCGCCTATTGCTCAATAAATGTTCTTTTTAATTTTTTTTCTTCTTTGTTTCACGTAATTAGTCCAATTACCTTGTAAACAGTAACGCGAGAAAGTTGTCAAACATATTCATTGGACATTAAACAAATATTAAGGAAATCCAATGTTCCGTAATTAATTTGCGTAATGGACCATTGTTAATTAATGCATTAATACCATATTTTAGAGCCATCACGGATGGGGCCCAATAGGGCTGATGCCGATTCGGAGTCGCGGAAAACCTAACGGGGTACCGGGGCTCCGGCTCGAAGTGCAACAGAAGGAACGGGGTGGTTTTTAGTCAGTAAGTCTGACACTCCCTTCCGCCTCACCCAAGCGGGAGAAGTGATACGATGATTTTCCCCCTTAAAAAAAATCTATTCTATTTCTATTTTGCCTATGCCTATGCACGTATATAATAATTAAATTTTTTTAGAAGAATATCGGTAAAACCTTTCTCTCTTAAAAATCTTTCCATCGCTTTATTTTAGAGAAATACTTCGGAAATCTGTCATCGCATGTCAGTCCGATATCCTATCACACCCATACCCAGAACAATAGTTTGTGCATCACACGATAAATTGTTCTGTCCGGAATTAACTCCTCGGCCATTCCCACAGGAGCCAGTTGCCAAGTCACTGTGCGCATTTCATTAATACAATAATAACTAGCTATTGACCGCGACTTCGTCCGCGTAGTATATAATGCTTGTTTTACATAGGAGCATTTAATTAGGATGGAAATATCCTATCACCTAAGTCATCACATCAACAGCTCAATGCAGGTTAGCGATTTCAAACTTATAATTAGAAATTAAGTTTGCCCAGGTTTCCTCACGATGTTTTGCGAGTCAGCTCATAATCTGCCTATATAACCTGACTACCCTGTATATTTCATCAAAATCCGTTCAGTAGTTTTAGCGTATTTGACGGACAAACATCCAAACACTTATAATATTAGTGAGATTGATATTGATATTAATTGCTATACCTACCTAAATAGATGTAGTAGTTATACACATTTTGATCAAGTAAACAGTGGTTTTAATTAAAGAATGCTATGTTTAACCTTGACATGTCTTGGTTATTGCATTGCATTCTTTGTAATCAGAGTAAACAACTACCGGATTGATAACAAGTCTTTACTGGTTATTGTGCATTTGTAGTTAATTGTCCCATTAATAGTAAAGTCCAGAGTTCTCATAATCATTTGGGTTCCATTCCCGCACGGAACAACTCTTTGTGAGATCCACAGATTGTTGTTCCGGGTCTGGGTGTCATGTGTATGTGAA